ACGCTGACATAAAAATTCACTAAATAAAGAAAGTAATTCACTAAATCAACAAAGGACCTTAAAAATCACTAAAATAGTGAAAATTCACTAAAAACGGCAAGACTGCAATAACAACGAGCGCTCACGGATCCGCTCCGCAACAATTGAGTCTGCTGAACGCGACCATTGGCAAAACAGTAAGAAATTACTAGGCACCAGTTGATATGAGTGGTGTGTACAATCAGAACTGTAGACAAACGGGATCCTCCCAATATTTTTGCACTTAAAATGAGATAAGAAGATATATATTTGGCTCTTGAAAAGAGAGAAAACGTAGATGCCAAGTACCAAAAATACAAGCAACATGAACAGACCTAGTACGAACTGTTAACTGAAGATCGATTCTGTATCTTGAAACGAGGTGAAAATTACAAAAGTGAGCGAATTTACTAGAATACTGATAATTTCATTGGTCAACACCTAGTAAATTTGCTCACTTTTGTAATTTTCACCTTGTTTGAAGATACAGAATCGACCCCCTGTTTATCCCTGTTTGAAATCCAAGGACGCGTGCCTCCTCAGAAATCGAAACTCACTAGATTTTCGTTGTTTCAGGTGTGTTTGGAGAGTATACTAGTAGCGTTTTCTCTTGGCGCGCGCGTTCGCTGCACTATCGTCATACTACTACACCATGAAACAGTTGCTCACACCAATTCACAGATTCACTAACACATCGAAAGCGCCTAGAAATGGTGGCGACCAATCACGAGGGCGTCGCCCCTCATGTCTTGACTCTCATTATAGGGACTCTAGTGTAGCTGAAGTGTAGCGCTTACACGCAACTGGGGCTCTATTCTTGAAAAGAATCGTATACGAAAATCTAGGGAAATGCTACAGTATACGTTACGTATCTATAATATTTCGCTAGACTTTCGTATACGTTTCTTTTCAAGAATAGACCCCCTGGGGCTCTATTCTTGAAAAAAAACGTATACGAAAATCTAGGGAAATGCTACAGTATATGTTACGTATACTACAGTATTTCCCTAGACTTTCGTATACGTTTCTTTTCAAGAATAGAGCCCCTGGTCTGGTACGAGGCTACACCCACCAGCCACCCAGTGTATCCCAAGAGAAAACGCTATAGGTTGGTTGCTTGTACTTTTTGCACTCAGCATTTTCACTTTCTCTCATTTCAACATCCGAATATATATTTATCATCTTTTAACAAAAAATTTGAGTGATTTCAAACAACGCGAACAAATTTTGCATAATAACGTTTTCGACCCGAGCGGATTTGTTCCCATTTGAGTTGGATAATGTTCTACTATTATTGGTTGATTTTACATGTTCCACCAATAGGAAAACGTACAATGTCATTAATCCAACCTAGGTTGATGCAAACCCGTTCAATTCGAATATGCTATAAAGCCATCAGACTATGCATTGAAGATTGAGATTGAAGATTAAAGATTGAAATTTCACCAATGGTCTAGTTTACACCGACGGTTCGATCCGGGTCAGAATGCAAGAATCAATCAACTGCATTCAAGCATTCGCCTGTTACAGTCGAATGAAAAGGGAATGCTCAACTGCAGTTGGTTGGTTCTTACATTCCGACTCGGATTGAACCCCGGTGTAAACTAGGCCAATGAGGACAAAGAAATTTCGGTTCCTTTTGTTCTAATTGGTCAAACTTCATTCTTTCACTCTTCAATCTCATTCTTCAATGCGTAGGCTGGGTATCAATCATGAAACTTTTTTCCTAGGATGAAAAGTGAAAAGTGAAAAATTTCTCCATTAACTTCAATGGTTAAAATTTTCACTTTCCATCCTAGGGATAAAGTTTCATGATTGATACCTTGATTCCGACCTAAGATAAATGGATGCATTCAGAACGACAACCGCTCACTGAGGCCGATATTCATAGTCTAATCTTATATTTAAGACCGTCTTAAGTACAGTCTTAAGATGTCATGAACCAATCAGAGAGCCGCATTAGCAACTTAAGACATTACTTACCCCGGATCTACAATAGGGTTTTAAGCCTTAAGCCATAAGAAATGGGCGAATCACAGTCGCTTATTCTTCTCGGATTCGACAGTAAGTCCGGATCTACAATAGGTGTTTTATGCCTTATGCAGTAAAGGCCCGTCTACAATACACGGAATAAGAAGTAAGAGTAAGAAATTGACCAATCACAGTCGAATGTGAGATGAATAATCGACTGTGATTGGTCAATTTCTTACTCTTACTTCTTACTCCGTGTATTGTAGACGGGCCTAAGAAACTGACCAATTACAGTCGAATCCGAGAAGAATAAGCGACTGTGATTCGCCCATTTCTTATGGCTTATGGCTTAAAACTCTATTGTAGATCCAGGATAATTGGTCAGTTTCTTAAGGCATAAGGCATAAAACACCTATTGTAGATCCGGACTTAAGACGGTCTTGAAATAAGAACCGACTATGAATACCGACCTGAGTGCTCATTAAGTTCTTTTATTTGATTGGCATGTTTCATTAGATCCTAAAATCATCATCATAATAGATCAATCAAATAAAAGAGCTCATTGAACGCTCAGTGAGCGGTTGTCATTCTGAATGCCCTCAATGGCTGCGTTCAGCAGAACGTTTATTTTGTGACTGTTGAAAGTTTTTTTCGTATTAATTAGGTTATGCCTTTAGATCAAGAGGAATGGTCCAATCTCAGCAGAGAATCATGAAACGGTTGCAAAACTGTTGTGTTCTGCTGAACGCATCCAATATGTATTCAAGGGGTCGATTCTATATCTTCAAACAAGGTAAAAATTACAAAAGTAAGCAAATTTACTAGGTGTTGACCAATGAAATTATCAGTATTCTAGTAAATTCGCTCACTTTTGTAATTTTCACCTCGTTTCAAGATACAGAATCAATTCCCTGACGTTGAAGAGAGAGAGATAAAGCGAAATTGTTGAGTGCACAAAATGAGTGCAACACGAACAGACCTATTGATGAGCTAAAGTCCGATGTTCACAATGCTAGAAATCGGTCCGAGATCTCGGACAGAAGAAATATTAACAAATCACATTTGAATAATATGATCACACGACCATTGCGATTGGTTAATTCTTTCTTCATCCGAGGTCTCGGACTGATTTCTAGCATCGTGGACACAATGCTTTAGGCCGGAATCAGACTATGCATTGAAGATTGAGATTAAAGATTAAAAATTGAAATTTCACCAATGAGGACAAAGAAATTTTGGTTCCTTTTGTTCTGATTGGTCAAACTTCAATCTTTTAATTTTCAATCTCATTCTTCAATGCGTAGTCCCTTAGGGCCATTCCACACAACTTGCATAGCCGCATAAACGTATGCATAAAGAAAATTATCCAATCACATTTTATGTACGACTTTAAAAGAGAACTGCAATTGGATAATTTTCTTTATGTATATGTTTATGCGGCTATGCAAGTAGTGTGGATATACCCTTAGGATGTGTATTGTGTACTTACCGTGTGATAAGAAGTAAAGAAGAGATTCGCTGGGCGTGCGAAGTTTGTTGGTCGATTTTTAAATATTTAAATGAGGATTATATTAAAATATAACTAATAATGTATACAGATATTTAATATGTATTTTCTGATTTCTCCTTTTTTCTGTAGGATACTTTTCTGCTGCATCAGGGAAAGCAAATCGCAATTCGTGTTTATGAATCCGTTACCATGACAGCGGATTTGAATCCAGAAGATTCTGGAGTGTGTAAATATATGGCAAATATATTGCCGAATTTGTTATTTTGTATATTTTATGGAACTGAATACTTTATGGAAGTAAAATGACGGAAGCAACTAAATCCAATGTGCAAATTATTTTGAGCATAAAAGAAGGTAATATTTTATAGATGTATCCTTATTATGTGTGTGTGTGTGTGTGTGTATACCTCAAGAATATTTCCAAGTTTTATTCCTAAAATTGATGTGTTTTCCTTGAAAATTCTTTTCTAAAAAAATATACTTATTCTTTATAATTACATCATAATTTTAATACTAATTCGAATAGAGTACAGAAAATATCAATTTATATTTAACTTATAAATTATGATATGTAGTATGATTAGGGAATTTTTATGTGGAACTTAAATTTATGAGGAAATTAAATTATTTATCAAATTATAACAATTATTGCCAAAAAATAAAATTTTATATATGTATATGTTACAGGGAAGGGTTTCGAACAAGTTTTACAACCAACATTATTAATTGGAACTTTAAATGGACACTCCTTAGAAACTGACAGAATCGAGTCAT